GAGCCCGAGACGAGGTAATAAAGCAATCGTCTCTTGGTTAATTGCCGCCACTCAAAGTTAACAATGTCCTGGGCCCTGGGATTGACGCGCCAGGACACAGCTGGATGGGTTAATGGGCTCTCATCTGGGATGATGGTGACTTTTAATTGATTCCAATGGCATGGGCGTGGGCGTGGGCCGCCAGCTTTCCACTTTTCAGCTTAACTTTTACTCCTCTCTGCCATCTCGTTTTTGCCATTTTATTTAAATTAGCGGCAAAAATCCGGTATGCGATAATAGAATGCGCGCCATGGCCCAAAAAAAATGAGAAAAAAATAGGTAACAGCGTAATAAAGAGTCCGAAATACGTAAACATTTTTCGTTCATTTAATTTTACGATATGCAAAGCAATCATAAAAAGCGCAGCGGCAACTACGCCGGCAAATATTGTAATAACAAGAAAGCAAAGCTAACTTCGGGCGGAGCCGAAGTTGATATACCCTTGCAGCTAAAACCGGATATATATTGCAAACATCGGATATAGTTGGCCAATCCTTATGATTACATCATAATAAAACCAATCAATTACAATAAAAAATCGAAAAAAAGTCCCAAGCTTCTATCTTCAAAAATACAAAAGTTGATATTTCTACCAAATACCATTTCCGATCGTTCAGTTATATGGCAGCTATAGGATATAGTCGGCCGATCCTAATGAAATTTTGTAGGTCGGATTAACTGACCAAAAATAGAATGTGTACCAAGTTCTAGCTTTCTATCTTCAAAAACACGAAAGTTGGGTCATTTCCGATCGTTCAGTTATATGGCAGCTATAAGATATAGTCGGCCGATCCATATGAAATTTGGCATGTCATATTATTTTGCCAAAAATAGCTCTCATGTCAATTTTTAGCCCTCTAACTCTAAAAACACCAAAGTTATACCATTTCCGATCTATCAGTTATATGGCAGCTATAGGATATAGTCGGCCGATCCGGGCCGTTCCGACTTATATACTGCGTGCAAAGGAAAGAAGGGTGTGTGCAAAGTTTCAAGTCGATAGCTTTAAAACTGAGAGACTAGTTTGCGTAGAAACAGACAGACGGACAGACGGACAGACGGACAGACGGACAGACGGACAGACGGACAGACGGACAGACGGACATGCTCATATCAACTCAGGAGGTGATCCTGATCAAGAATATATATACTTTATAGGGTCGGAGATGTCTCCTTCACTGCGTTGCACACTTTTGGACAAAATTATAATACCCTCTGCAAGGGTATAAAAAGACGAGTGCCCACCAAACACCAAAACAACAAAATGTGTATCAACTTCCGTTTCCGCTTTCCCCATTTTCATTAGTAACTCCTCCCCAGAGGACAGCGACAGTGGGTGGTGAAAGTTTATGGAAAATGATAAAATTTATATAGAGAGGGCTTGTTTCTTGAAGGAGATGCTTATAAATTTGAAAGATTTTCAAGAATGGAAGGAAAAGAAGCAGGAAATATTTTCAATTTGGGTTTTATTATTATTTTTATGAAACAAAAATCATAACTTATTCAGCTTCGTGTTCTAAATTTAAAATAAATGATATATTTAGTTTTTATATTTTATTTTAATAATTTCTTTGAAGTTTTTAACTTAAAACTTAACAGAGCCCATTGTTGTATGGCTTTTTTTGTGAATTTTATACATACTCGTGTTAAATTTTTAGCGCATACACGTAGCTAAGCCTGCACACCATAGCTAACACACGTAACACTTGTAACTACAGAGGAACATAACTAAAATGAACAAATATTTAATAATTAACAGGAGCTTTAAAAAAAGTTCTTGAATAGAGGGACATGTGTAAAAAATCAAAAGTAGTACGATCCAATTAAAAAGAGTCTCACTTATTCAGACTTCACTGTTGGCCTGCACATAGAAAACAGTCGTAATCGTAAACAAGTGACGGCGGCCGCGACATTTTATAGCTAGACCCGTGTACTTGGCGAGCGGTTAATGGTCGGCCCAGGGTCCGTCAGTGGGTGGGTGGGTCTTCTGGTTCTTTTTTTTCGGTGGTGAGATGGTTGGGCTCCGTCGTTGGAGCGGTGGTGCAGAGCGGATGGACAACGCCGTGGGGTACATGGCATAAATTAAAGCGCCGTTAAGCATAAGCTTGCCCAATTACCAAAGTATCCTTGGCCATTATATTTACGGATTTATTATTGTGTTGACTGCCATTCGAGGACGTCGAAATCGCCCCCAAAAAAAAAAACCACCCACATCCAGGAGGACGATGTCGTTGTGAATGGCGTGCATGCATGCTTGCATGGATGCCTTATCAGCTCTTTGTCATTTGTCATGTTAATTTAATGATTTTCGGGTTTTTTTTCTGTCCTTCTTATGACAACCCGACCAGCAACAGAACTTCCCATTTTTCGTTTTTCCGGGCTTTTATGCCTCAATGACAATGTCCGCACGGAGGCTCCTCGTTTTTGTCATTTTATCGACGGATTTTTAAAGTTACAATTTCACGAAAAAAATTAAAATACATTCTCTGTGACATGAACCAGATAAGGATAATTTTTTAATTTATAAAAATTTTTTTTAGGTTATTAAGCTATTTATTGATATAGCTTCCTTTAATTAAAGCAGAACTACAGTTTAATTTTCTTTGAGTAAGGTTTCCTTTTGCTTCTTGCAGGAAAAGCCAGGAAAAAGCTCAGGAAGACATGTAACTAATTTAGATTCCAGATGTTTTCCTGCCTCATCTCATCATTTTGGCATCGCTATTTTCTGTATTTTTGTTGAAAGAACCAAGCGGAGCAGAGCGAACGCGAAGGAACGTCTTCCGCTTCGATGTATTCGTTTAATTAATGCGAAATCTAATTGAAAAACTGATACGCCGGCTCCAGTGGATGCTGGTTGGTGCCTTTGCTATTTTGCTGATGTTGTGCGTGTTGTACGCGTACGAGTGTATCTACGGTGTTAATTGAAATTTAATCTAGCCAACACGAACGGAGACGGAGCTGGAGATGGAGTACTGACTCTGAGATGTGATGAGAATGAGAATGGCAATGGAAATGGGTTGGGGACTGGGTATTGGATATTGGGGACCTGAATTGTAAGAGTGGGATATCACTCGTTCTCGTATTTATCGGCTACGTCAGCAACGGCACAGATTAGAAACATTTTGTGCGACTAAATAGCTAGAGTATCTCATGGATACGGATGCGTTGCTGTCAGGTTGAGGCAGCAACTTTCCCTTCTCCGATTCATTTTGTTCCCAGCCCAGTGGAGAACGTTTCTCTATGATAGCCTAGCCACTTTGCTTCACTCCACTTACCACGGTCTGAGCCGAGTCGAGTGGAGGCCTGTTTTTGGCCCGTTCCCTCCTGGCCCGGTCAGTTGTGTTTGCTATGGAATTGCCAATTGGCGATTGGCGTTTCATGTTGTCGCCGTCGACGTCCTGTTTTCCATCGTTTGTATCCCACACACTTGGCAAAAATATATCTAGTATTTCAAGAAAGAAACTGGTTGCAAAATAAATAAATTAGATAAACTATCTATCTATGAAGTAGTCTTAAGAAGCAGTTACTAACTCTTAAACATAAAATATTGGAAATTATTTATATTAATTTTTTTGCAAGTGCCCAGGCAGAGACCCAATCCCATTTTCGATTCCAGTCGACGGCTCTGTCTTCGATGTCGGCGTTTCTTTAATTTATTTTGTCTCCTCATGCAACTCGGTTGCAACTTCGATACCAGAGCCAGCTCAAGCTCACAGTCGAAGGCTAACAATGTCGGCTTGTTGCATTTCTTTAATTTATTTGATTTGCGATTCATTCTGTGCACTTTGAGCGCTTTCGCATGTCTAGCTTGTGACCATATCGAGTTGCCTCGAAGACTGGGGCAATCGATCATGGAATAGAATAGAAAATAAAGGTGAATGTTGAATGTTATACGAGTATATATATATATATATATTTTCCCTAACCATTTCGAAATCTATCCAAATCCCGGATCCCCAACAAAAATCTTCCGCATTGCCAAAAAAACTAAATCAAACGTAGACTTGTGTAACTTGCAACGTCAACTCGAGCCACTCGGTTTGAAATTGCTGCTTACGTGACCAGGCAATTGCAGTGGCAAAAAAAAATTACAGGTGCCCCTCCCTACCTCCCATCCCCTGCCACTTGCCACCTGTCCCCTGCTGCCCCTCCTTCTGCCTGCCACAAGCCGTCGAGAAGTCGAATTTTATTTGATAATAACGTTGAGCGCCGAGTTCGCTGGCCGTTCATGAACTACAAAAGCCGCTGGCTGCGTTTCGTTTAGCGTTTTAGTTGTTTTTTTCTGTATTTTTTGTATTTTCTGCGATTGCAGCGGCATTACTTGTCCTCGATGCGGTTGTTGGCTTTTGCTACCGTACTCACAAAAAAAAAAAAAGAAAAAAGGAAAAAACACGAGTATCTGTTGGATGCAAACGCAAAACGCACTGCGCCGAAAACGTGTGCGTTTTGCATTGCATCAGCATAGATTAAGATTGCAAGCAGAATATTCAATGCCCTACTAAATACTAATATATGTCGTTCATAATATGAATCACCTTTAAAAGTAGTCCCCTGTCTATCTACCATTATCTACCGTTTCCTTAATAAACCTTTAATAATATACTCTTCTTTGTCTATTTATTTAACCAACGAGTTCATTTGATGGCCTAGAAATCCTACTCGCAAATAACTCTACTTGCTAACACAAAGCATGCTTTACACAAATGCAATTTGGTTCTTGTTTGCTTTGCTTTTTTTATTGAATTTTTTTCCTCGAGATTTTTTTTTGATAAATGGGTGCAGTACTTTTATTTATGCATCTTGTGCATGTCTCGCACTTAAATAATTATCTGCATTGCATTTTCGTGGAGGCAAATATTTCACAAAAAAAACTTAACAAGAAAAAAAGTGTCCTAAAATATTGATTAAGTTCTGAACTACCAGATTTCGAAGCTATCCTTTTAGAAGTCTATAATAATGGCTCATTTATATTCCTTTTTTTTTTACTAATTACTGATTTTGCAAAATATATACGAACATAGTAACATAATACTTGGGAAAACATTTTAAGGATCGGGCACTCCGTTTCGAAGGATCTGCAGCCTCATGTCCTTGCAGCCCCTTTCGAAAACATTGGATATCGCATCCTCGACAATCAATGCCTGCCTTTTGGGGCTCATGAAGAGCTTCTGAACCTTTAGCTCCCGATCCAGACAATCGAGCACATCGTCAGTGGAAAAGAACCGGAAACTGACAATGGTCGTGTCCGATTCGAGCTGCTGCAGGAGCTCATACTGCTCCCAGTACTGATCAGGCTTCACATTGATAACATAAACCACCAGGACCGTTTGATTGTCCCACGGCCGCTTGCTCAAGTCGCCCTCGCGCTCCAGGATCAGCCGGTTGAAAATGGGCACCAGGCTGTGATCGCAAGTGGACAGGTTATCGATGATCAGGAGGTTGGCACCGCAGTCGGAGAGTCCGTCGACGAACTGGCGCAGCATCCGAAACTTGCCCACCTCGTCCGCCATCTCGGTGCTCCACGAGTAGGCATGGGCGTTAGCCGGCCAGGGGAACTCCTGTCGCAGGACCGTGGTGGTCAAGGTCTTGCCCACGCCCGGGGGACCCACCAGGGCTACCGAACGGAAGCCTTTTTTCTCGGACAGAGCCCTCTCCATCCGGGCCAGGGCCTGCTCCTGGTTGAGCACGTGCCGGCCCACCTGGCGGAAGATCCGCTCCATATCCAGAGCCTTTAGACTGCAAGAGACTTTTCCCAAGCTACTTTGGCCCCCAAGCTGCTGCTGCTTAATACCCAAAAATCCGAGGACATCGGTCCAGAAGCTCTTCTTCTGCTGCGGCGGCTGCTTCCCTACCACCTGCACTGGGTCGGATTCCACCGATTCCTGGGCCATCTCCAGGGCCAGAAAGAGCAACAGGGCCAGGACGATGATGGCCGCTGCCAGAACGGTCAAGCCCTGGAGGATGTGGGTCTGGCGAGTGGAGCGAAGACGCTCCCGGTGCTGCCGGCAGCTGGTGTTCCGTAAGATACCTCGACGGCGGGGATCCTCCTCTTCGTCGGAAACCACATCGCCCGCATGGGATCGCCGACGACAAAGGTCGCCCATGATCTTGAGGGTCTGGGCTTGTTCAGAGCGGCTTGAGCGGATTGAGAGGTGTGGCGGCATGGTGATTGGATTTTGGTAATTCAAAAATGACTTTTTCAAATTAATTTTAGTTTTCAAATGTTTTTCCGCCAGTCCTTGTGTATTTGTAATTTGTTTCTAACCTGACAGTTATCTACTGAGAATTGTATGAAATGGAACGATTTGTAAAGCTCGGAGAGATTGGGGAAGAAAACCCGGTGCCGGGAAAGCGCTTACTCATCATTATCGGACGGAGGCAATCAGCTGATTTGGAGCAGTAGACATGATTATTACCATTACCATTATGTTTGTGCGATTAACCCCGCACTCGAAACAACAGACAAGCAACTGGGCCAAAACACACTGGAAGATCCAGCGATCATGGTTACCAAACCAAACCGATCTGTACCGAACCGAACGATGCCAAACAGACCGACCAGACCATACCATACTCTATACACAATACCAAAAAACAAAAAATAACTATATACGAAAAAAATACAAAAAAATTAAGACAAGACCAAAAAAAGTTGCGGACAGACGGACAAAGAGCCAGCCAGTTATTTCGGCGCTTGGCAACAAACATGGCTCAAAGCGAACAAGACACTTCTGTAAGTATTCGTGTAAGAGGTAGAGGGAAATTTAATCAAATAAAGGCTAGGCAATACACTCTATTATGGATAAATATATGTATATATTTATATATATATTAGCATATATACTAAGACCTCTTAGATTTAACATTTTTAAATAAATATTTATTGTATACTTATCCCAATAATTTATGGAAAATATATTTTAAAAAGAAGAACTCTTTTTCGCCTTGCAGAAACTTTACACTTCCTTGTCTTCATTTTTTTCGTAGGGTATTCATATATTCGTTGTATCTTTTTTTTTGTCATCCAGTCAGACATGTAAAAACTCAGTGCCGTAACGGTTTATGAAAATCAAGTTGGGCGACTTGCAAAAGTGTCTTCATAAATCAGTCAACGCTCTCGGTACCAGCGTCAGCTGTCAGCCGGAGATCACTTAGAGCTCTCGGAGGTTGAAGCTTCAAACTTGGAGCTGGAGCTCCACTGTGGTTCGCTTGGGTTCACCGGTAATTACACCACCACCGCCAACCAGCACCACCATCCACCGCCCTCAACCACCCAATCTATCTAATGTTGTATGGGTGCCATTATGCTCTCTACATGACATGACACGGGGGGAAAGCTTTTGGGGCAGGGCAAGAGTTAGGTGCCCCCAGCAACCGACTTCAACCAAATCAGAGAGTGATGGCAAAAAGTTAGAGATATATTTTTGGTATTCTATCTTTTATTTAAACTGGAGACCCAGACTAAGTATAGGTTATATTTGAGGACTTTTAACTAAACTGGAGTATGACTATTTACCAAAATATAAATATAGGTCTTCCTTTTTAAAAAATCTAAGAATAATACTCTGAAGCTAAAAAAGTATCTACAAGATAAGTAGCTAAAAAGCCATCTCAGATACAAAAACCTACAAAGACATTTAGATTCGAGAGTCTTGCCATATGATTTTGACAGCATAGCCCCCCAAGTTTGAAGATGGGTTGCGGCCTGGTCTGGGTTCGTCAGTCAGCTGCTGAGTCAGCTGTTATAATTGTTGGCAAAGCCAGGCTTTTTTACTTTTTTTTTTTTTTTTTGCCAGTGAAACGTTTGGGCCACGTCAAACCTCTATGGAAAATTTCCAAAAACTCAATCGCCAGTAGACCATATGGCGCGGGTGGTCAGACCCACAGCAGACTTTTGAAAGTTTAGATTCAGTTTTTCTGGATAATCAAGATGCAGCATATCTACGTCAATGACTTGACTGTTTTAGGAACAAAACTAAAACCATAATCCATCTGAGCCACACATTTTGAGGTAGTAAACCTAATATCCGACAGATAAATAAACAATAACGTCTAATGCCAAGCGGCAATAAATGCGACTGGCTTCAAATTCAATTTAATCACACTTAATTAGTTTGTGCTTAATTTACGCTGCCATCAGCTTTGACAACACATCGCCTCGGAGCTGTCAATCGGCTCGCATTGCGCCACATTTTATCTACTTAATGGCAGACATTCGAGCAGATCGGTTACCAATTGGCCATTCCGTGCGTATTTAATTGAACCACCTCCTTGAAGCTCTCCCCAAGTGCAATTCTTGTGTTTTCTTTCGGAACAGCCCGCCCGCATTTCCCCGCGGATCGATTTAATTTTATTGAAGCTATGACGATGGTTAAGTTTTTAAAAGAAAAAAAAAACAATTGAGCTTAAGTTTTGGGTATACTTTTTAATTAGTTTTGGACGCAATGTTTTCATGGTTTTTAGGAGCTTAGTTTCAGGATCTTATATGAATTTCAATCTTGTTTGGAATATATTTTAGAATGTATAGTATCTTAAGATATTAATAAATATCTGCATGTTTAATAGGTTAATGATACCTATTAATTCCAAAAATTTAAAGTATCTGCTAAATTAAAACAATATATGTACATATGTATCTTTTAAAGTAAGTTACAAGATAGGAATAAAGCGTCTTATGAGATCCTGAATTAGGTGGACTCATGATTACAATTTTTATACCTAAGCTGAGATAACTACTGCTTTTTACAAAGTATTCAATAAAATTATAAAACCTTAAAAAGTTATAAAACGATGTCATTGCAATAATTTAAGATTATATAGAGAGAAACTTTCGAAAAGCCATTTTTTAACTATACGAGTATGATACCCACATCTCAGTTCATTTTATGGGACAGTTTGCTAAAGAGATGCAGATTGGTAGTTGTGCGGCTTTGGCTATTGTGCTAAGCTAAGAGCAAGGTAAGCCGAGGTAAGGTAAGGTAAGGTAAATGGTTGAAAATTGCAGACGAAGATCCGGAGGCCGGACGAGAACGGTGGATACTGGCCAAACTGGTTGTCGGTTGTCGGAGGTTGTTTTATGTGAGGCCCACTACCGGAGTTACACACACTCGCCCTCTTCTCTTCTTTATTTTTTAAACAATTTTTTTTTTTTATATATACAGATATAGGTATATTTTTTGAACACCTCTCCGTTGCGTTGTTTACGTTTAGCGTGGATTTCTTCATTCCACGCTGGTTTGTTTTGATTTAAAAAAAAAGGTTGGGCTAGAAAAACTGGATGCTCTTGTCGGCTGTTCTTGGGCTTAAAGTATTTGTTTTTTGTTTTTATTGTGTTGCCTATTTTTCGTCTCTCACCCAGAAATGTCTTTATCTGGCTTGGTTTATTATTTCAAGTAGTGTTTGTATGCTTGTTTGTTCATTTATTTTCTATATCTATCTCTATGGCAAAAGGCAAAGCGGTATCTCAACGGTTCGCTGCTGGGAAGTTTTTTTCGAAAAAGCAACACCCCGGAATGGCTTAGAATCTGTTTGGTTTTGTCTGTTCTGGCGAAATGAGTTTCCAGTACCTGGTCTGGCCTGGCCTGGCATGGCATGGCATGGCCTGGCCCACTTTTAACCCTTTCGGCTAATTGAAATTCATGGCAAGTTAATCTCCCATGGCAAGTTAGCAAAAACTAGCTTGCACCTACAACTTTCATTCATTTATTTGTTATTTCAGCATTTGCACTCTGAACTTTTCCAACTACTGCGGTTTCTGTGCAACTTTGTTTATGTTATTCTGGCATTTTTACTCATGCTAATAGAATGGAAATATTTTTCAAATGGCCATGGAATATGAAATTAAGTACTCCCCCTGGCATTTTAGAAATTCCCTGCCAATGTACAGCATAATCTATAAAATAACTTTATAGTTTCATAAAAATTTTTTCGACTTTCTACCGGATATCCTACACTCGTGTGACTCGACTCATTTACGTTTCGGTTCGATCCATTAGTAGTGGGAACTCGAAAATTTAATGGGGTACGAACAATGATGTAATATAATGATGCAGTCAAGTGCTTACCATATTGCATTCACTGGGACACTAAGGGCTTCGTGTCTCCAGGGAAGAGGGGTGGAACTGTTCTTTTAGCGAGGGGGTCTAGGTCCCATAGAGACACTTGTTCTTTTCCAAAGCCATTAGATACTAGGGGACTGGAGGGACTGAAGCTGCAGACAATGAAAACAATAAAAGTCCCCCCAGTTTTGGGGGACACTGTGAAGAAATGATTACTTTACAATTTTATTGATAATGTGGGCCAGGTTCGTTGTTTTCTTGAAAATGTTCCGCATAATTGCCAAATACATCCAAGAATCTTCTCTCGCCCAATTTCAGATGCACTGCTTAATTAAAACAGCCTCCAAAAACTACCAAAAAAATGATAGCATAACCCAGAGACTGAATCAAATGCAAATGTGCAGCCAGCTGCCTGAAAACCGAGAAGGGGAATGTGGAAATAATCAGACTCTAAGTGAAAACATGTGGATCGGCAAACGGGGGCCACAGTTCAGCTGCCACATCCCAGATCCAGATGGTGGAGCATTAATCTCCCAAATACACCACATCAAATTAAGAAAAATACTTGAAGCAAAAACATAAATAAATCTTTACATTTAAGAAAAGGTTTCAAAAGTAGAACTTTAAATAAGTCATACTTGGCGCTCCTCGAATGTCCTTCCCTACTCAAGAAAGTTTCTATTTGGTCTTAAACCAAAGATCTTGACTACAGATTTCCCGAGATTTGTCCCTTCAACAATTTCCTTCACTTTTTGTGGACTTATTAGCATAATGAGTAAAAATATTGCCGCTCTGCTTTGCTTTATTTGACAACTTTTCCCCGGGTCCTTGCTGCTTGGCTGCCTGCGCTGTCCATTTTGGCCTTATGACCCAGGACCCGTGGTTCGTTCCATCTTCTTGGTGGTCATTATGTTAATAAGCGCCAGGGCAAACGCCTCTGGTTTCCACTTGGCAGGAAGAAGGACCTGAAATGCCAAAGTGTACTGATGGGACGATGGGACGACGACAATATCTACCGATGGCTGCTGCCCCCATAAACTGTGCTCTCGCCGAAAAATGTCGATTTGTTTTAATGCCATCCGGAACTAAGCGGACGGAAAGTGCGAGATGCTAAGGATGCTGAAGATGGCCCAGCTGTCGGGATGCTGGTCATCAAGGCATAGATATCCCACAACCCAAAAAGGGTGTAAAGGCCG